CCCACTGAGAGTTATTAACTGACATTTTGAAGAGTAAGACTGCACTTCAAGTGATGAATAATTTACTGAATTACTGTATATACTTAAATAGAAGATGACCCTGAATGTAAGACAAACTCCAATAATTAGATTCTACATATGGAACAATTATAGATTTGTTATAATTTTCCTGGCATGGAATCTAATTATTGGAGGTTTGCCTTGAATGTGTCCCCTCTCACTGCTACAAAAGGGAAAATTAAATCTGAGGAATCAGGTAGTCCCCTTGCTCTTTACCCCACAACTTCCTCTGCCTGCAGGCCCTTCCCTCCCTCCCTCCCCTCTACTGGCAGAACTTGCTCTCCCTAAGCACATGGAAGTGAGGAGCAACTCTGAAAACACTAATCTTGAAATAAACATACGTGTGTATGTAGTACCCATAGACTTAATTCATCCAGAATTGATGCATTTAACCTTTTTCTCAAACTGCTACAAGCTTTAGCACAGGCACATCATAAATACATTTTTAAGTAGCATTTTTGTAACTATGGTAATAGTGCAAAGGCAAATGCTCAAGATTTACTGTACAATTCATTGGGCTGGACCCCAGCAAAGTCAACCGCATTTCAAGTCATGATGACCCCAGAGCTCAGCACTGCTCAGTACCCCACTACTCTGGATATCCCCCCCATGAAGGATCCATGTGCTAATTAGTACCCCCCCACACACACACACACACTCATGACTGGAACTAAGTGTTCTTGTTATGAGTCCTGGGATCCTTCAAAAACGTATGTACAGATGACATGCAGGGCACCCTGGTCCAGCTCCACCTCATGGAGGGCAAGGCCACACTAATCATATGCAACAGACAGAGAGGGGGCAACAGAGGGATTCTGCGTAAACTATTTGGGGCCCATTTGGTGATAGCTGCAAGACATTTGAAGCTGGTAAAGAACCATGAATCACTGAAAATGGGAAAGAAAGGCACAGTTCAGCTGTAGGAGTAAAGAGGAAGTCAAACTGTATTCAATGTAGTGGTCTACCATGACTTGAAAAAAGTTGGCACTGAGGGGGACTGAGCACAATGGGACCTACCATATATCATATTCAGATGGGCTATACTAACCTATTTTCCCTATATGGGCCCTGTGTTTTATAGTCATGCTCAGGGTTGGCTGTATTTAATCAATTTCACAGTTAGTTCCATTGCTGAGCATACACTGCTTTTGGCAACAGTTTAATGATAAACAACGTATTTAATGAGGTTTCCTTGTATGAGAATATAAGACGAGCATGCTGTTTTTTCCCCATGCTGATCGTAAACTTGCCTTGTATTCGAGTGAATACAGTAATGTCTATTTTTGCCCTAAACCTGGGAAATCATTCTATGCTTTTATACACAATAAAATACAATTTGAGCAAGGTCACCTGTGAAGTAACCATGATTCTCTGGTACAACCCATGGCATAGAGCAGTATGTCCTTATCATATGTTGTGGAATTATCATGATGGTACATTTCCCATGCAAAGTCCCATTCTTTATCACTTCCCATTGCAATACCATAACAAAAGATTGTTCTTCTAACAAAAGCAGGAATCCTGTAAAATAGAATATGACAGATGCCACTGTATTCCTACAAAATTAAAGCGAGTGTTTAATGAATGGCAGAAAAATATTTACATTCAATTACAATTAGAACATTCATAAAAGTGAAACATAACATAAATATTAAAACAGATAGATGTGATTACTTCAATGTTTTGATATGATCTGAAAATCAACACAAATAAGATTTTTAAGAATAAGGATGAACTGAAAAACTTTTTAATATAAATCACAATAGTCTGTCTTGGCCAAAATAAATATTGACCATTATCATTGTGTCTTACAACAACACAATGATGCCATAACTTGCAGCAATTGCATTTGTGTGAAAATGCTACACCCAGAAGGCTTTTTGGAAGTGTCTCTATGGAGCTCAGGTGATAAGAAAGCACTAACCATTTGCAGAAAAGCCAGATGCTTCAAGACTGCAAGCTAAAGAGAGAATGGATACTTTTTCATGCACCAGACTCCCTCCTGCTACTTCAGAGGGTAAGTCCTACAAGTGATAATGAATTCTGTAAAATTCTATTACGTCGATGAATTTTGTGTCTATAGCACTACTCATTTGGACAGTTCATGGCTCTGAAGAGCTGCAGCACTACACAGAGTTCCAGCAGCAGAGTGCTCCCAGGAATATACTAATTTAGCTATGTAAATATTGTTCTTCTGAATGAAAGAGAACCAGACCTGGTAAGTATGTGGTAAGTGTGGGAACAGAGGGGCAATAGTTCATAATATTCCACGTATTGTATAA